ATCAATACAAAGTACCTGATTTAGCAACGACATGCACATCTTCTATTTTTTCATTCAATCCCACAATTCCCCAAAGTCTCAGAGAAAACCTATGCATCCTGTTCTGTTTTGTTCCTTCAGGATGAGGAAAAAAGCCCCAACATTCTTGTGTTTGTTCTTCACTGGCACTTTATCAGCTACCCACCCTCACTGATACGCTCTGGATTATTACACAGCCTTCAGATCTGAACATCCTTCATTCATTTCCTTATGTTTACTTCATAGCTGTCCATCTACATTCAAAAGGTATTTTCTTAAAAAGTTTCTGACAGCTTTTTGGGTTCCTGAAGTGTTCTGATCAATTGTAATTGCAAGTGGTAAAACAAGGTGATTTTTCTACATTTTCTGTTTAAATGGAAAGCATACAGTATTTTTCTTTTGTAAAAGCTTAGTCAAGCAAAATGCATTAAGGTTTTATCACTCCTTATATTCCCTACATCTTCACTGTAACATTGAAAACGTCATCCATCTACTTTTAGGGAAGTTTGGTTTATAGTAAACCCAATGAACTATCTGCCAGCAGGAATTCTGCTATGTGCAAATATCAGGTGCTTCTGTAACATCCAACAAACAGATGTTGTGCCACCATTTATTCATAAATTTGTCACCTCAGACAGAATTTGTTTTCACCATGTTTGGACTTCAAGAAAAGCTACTAAATTTGAGTAAGTGAGCTCATCTATCGAGAGTTCATCTTTATTGAAATTTATTGTAGTTTCTCTTGGTCCTGTTTATTCCACTTCTCAGTTTCTTCTCATTATTAGTTCCTTTATGAATAACGTTGCCTTGAGGTGTACGAATAAGCAGACATTTTATCAAGCTAGGTATCTTCATATGGCAGTTCATCAGTTTTCATTAACTCACTCTTGCAGTTAATAACCACATAATGTTAGATGAAGTTATTATTCAACTGTACTAAATGGAGATAATCTGCAGACACCATAACATATGGCATCTGCCAAAGCATCACATTTATTCCAATGTTTGCTGCATTGTAATAAATTTTTCAAAACTTGTTCTAACTTCATGAACCTAGTAAAATACTTAAGGGTTCACTGGTTTTAAACATCCCTTACCAGAAAGTTTGCTGAAGTTGATTACGCAATTTTCTCAGGTTCTGTATGCAATGGAAACTGTCATCATACCACATATCTATTTAGAAAATGTTGCTTATTTCTAGAAAAACTAGATGCAGGTGCTCTGAAATAGAAATCTATTTACCAACATACTCATGTTTCTGACAACATAGCAAACATTACTTGTATAGGTCATCTGTTAAAACATCATGAAATGAGAGGAGAAGGAAAAGATGTTCCTTAAAGTTAGAATTGCATGTGGCATGCAGGTAGTGATGTCATGGCTGTAAACCACCATAGCAGGATTATCACAGAATTGTAGAATGGCCTGGGAAAAGGACCATAATGATCACCCAGTTTCAACCCCCCTGCTTTGTGCAGGGTCACCAACCACCAGACCAGGCTGCCCAGAGCCACATCCAGCCTGGCCTCGAATGCCTTCAGGGATGGGGCATCCACAGCCTCCTTGGGCAACCTGTTCCAGTGTGTCACCACCCTCTGTGTGAAAAACTTCCTCCTGACATCTAACCTAAATCTCCCCTGCCTCAGTTTAAAACCATTCACTCTTGTCCTATCCACCCTTGTGAACAGCTGTTCCCCCTCCTGTTTGTATGCTCCTTTCAAATATTGGAAGGCCACAATGAGGTCTCCCCGGAGCTTTCTCTTCTCTAAGTTAAACAATCCCAGTTCCCTCAACCTTTCCTCATAGTAGAGGTGCTCCAGCCCTCTGATCATCTTCGTGGCCCTCCTCTGGACCCACTCCAAGAGCTCCACGTCCTTCCTGTTCTCGGGGCCCCAGGCCTGGACGCAGTACTGCAGATGGGGCCTCACAAGAGCCGAGTAGAGGAGGACAATCACCTCCCTCTCCTTGCTGGCCATCCCTTTTGTAATGCAGCCCAGAACACAGTTGGCCTTCCGGGCTGCAAGCACACACTGCTGGCTCATGTCCAGCTTATCGTCCATCAGGACCCCCAAGTCCTTCTCTGCAGGGCTGCTCTCAAGGAGATCTTCCCCCAGTTTGTATAAATACCTGTGATTGCCCCAGCCCAAGCACAGCACCTTGCACTTGGCTTTGTTGAACCTCACTACGTTCTCATGGGCCCACTTCTCCGGTGGGAGAAGTTATCCATTATCCCAGAAAATTCTACTAGTCAAACCAATCTCATTATCAGAAACAAAATCTGTGGCTGCAAGTATTCTCACGCGTTCAAACCAAATGTGTACGTTACAGAGACCACGATTTATAACGAACACTGGAGGTGAAACTAAGGCTTAAATGCAGCTCACAGCATACTTGAAGTGCATATTGTTACGTGAAGTACCTTCACTGTACTTTTAAGGTACTTATGGAGAAACATTAAGAAATGTAATTCCTGAAGTCATTATAAAGATACGCTTCTTTTATACAAAAATACCTAATTAAAAGGAACAAACAAAAAAACCCTTTGGATAACACACCCATGTTTTTCACAAATTCTAATGACTTAAAGACAAATTCTTTGGCAGAGTAACTGCCACTCAGCTTCTAATCTAGACAGTTATTTGTTTTGTAGTGTAAATTATGCTGTTTCTCTTTACAGGTGTTTCCCTTCAGGCACTTAAAATAAAACTACAAATTACATAGTGAAAAAAGAAAAAATCTTAAAACTAACAGCTGCAAGCTACTGTGAACATTAAAAATTATATTTAGATTTCTGTATTTCTGTACTGTGCTTAAGCAATGCCCTATTACACATTCTTTCTCTCTTGCCCTATTTCAAGGATACCTTCAAAAATCAAGGACACCTTACAAAGTCATTTGACCATATATGTAAATTTGTCGCCATTTCATCAGTCAACGCAAATATAAAGCTAATTATTTAAGGAATCAAAGCTCTTTTAATCCATCCCACTATATAGTTATTGAACTATAAAACCATGTAGATCTAAAGCACAATGCCTTCTAATTTTACTTAGAGATACATGTGACTTGCATGCAATATCTAACTTGTCTGGCTGGAAAAAAAAAATCCAAAAAATAAGTGAATCCAAATGTTTTAGTTCAGCTAACATAATAGCTATAACCAGTGCAATTCAAAAAGTTGCAACTCCTATTCATTAGAAGATTTATATTGGAGATTATGTAATATATTTGGAAATAGAACAGTGATATAGATTACAGACATTATAAATAGGAAATACTCCATAGCCATCTACATGAGGCTGCCACTGATTTTAGTGAATACAAACCATTCAATATTCAATAACTTTCATGTATTTTAACAGGATTCCTGAGCTACCTCATTAGCAGATTTAGATGTAAAATGTAAATTAATATTTTAATTAAGCTAGTAATACTTAAATATTAGGTAATTTGCCATGTATGCCATGCTTTGATAAGAACCTCATCAGGCTTTTTACTGCGTACTGAACTAAGTAATACTGTTACGAGCACTTCACTAATACAAAACTCCTCTTCACCTTTTGTGAAGAGTAGAAAGCTGTGACATGAAGTGGATGCATCTGACTATGGTTCTATCTTGCATTTAGTAGCAAAAAAAGCATCCCATTTCCACAGCAAGAAAATCTAGAGTTTCTGTAGCTGGAGTGTTTGCTGGCTCCTCAAGCTTTTTAGACCAGCTGATGAAAGGCCTGCCAGGAGCACAGTGCGATATTTTGAAAGGGCTACAGCTACCTTCTAGCCGAAAGCAGACTGTTTGGAAACAGATTTTGTACTATCTAGATCCTTATCAAGGTCTACTGACCTGCAGTCCTATGAAGAGTTAATAGACAGGAAAGCAATGCACAGGGTTTAGCTAATTTTTATGCCTCCCTTCTTTGATTGCTTGCAAAAACAAGAAAAATGTTTCTGAACTTTCCCTCAGTTTATTATATACATTCCGATATTTAACACACTCTACAACTTACTTCTGATTTACTCATTGGTCATTTCTGAAATTTCAATTTTTGTTTAGATTCAGCTAATCTGATCTGTCAGGCTAAGGAAATAATTTAATACAATGATGTATGCATAGAGTATAAGAATACAAAACGAATATACCTACCAAGCTTTCCTACTAAAAACTTCTATGAGTGCTCTTCAACAAGTCTTTGAGGTCAAACAATGTTTTTGAAAGTTTCAAGTGACTTTCTTCAAATAAACTATTCTGTCACCACTAAAAGGTAATTTCCAGTTATCTCTCAGGTATATGTGTCTTAGACTATAAGTAACACCAGACATTTTCTGAATTACCCTTGCATTACAAATCTGTATGTACAGGCTTGCAATCCTTTTATGTTCTAGATGTCGTTGGTAAACAGATTTTAATGGGACTTTGATAAGAAAATTCCTGCAAACCAACAGCACTCCACAATTACTTACAGTCTTATTTCACAGCTCTTTTTAACACAGTAGAAAACAAGGTAGGAGATTGGAAAGATGCAAGGGGAAAAAGTTGCAATAGTTCTATAACTGCATAACAGCCCCAGTACAGGAAGGATGTGGAGCTCTCAGAAGGGTCCAGGGGAAGGCCACTCAGATGACCAGAGGGCTGGCGCACCTCTCCTATGGAGAAAGGTTGAGGTTACTGGGCTTGTTTAGCTTGGAGAAGGGAAGGCTCCAGCGAGACCTCATTGTGGCCTTTCAATATTTGAAAGGAGATTATAAGCAGGAGGGAGAATCACTGTTTAGGAGGGTGGATAGTGATAGGACAAGGGTGAATGATTCTAAACTGAGGCAGGTTAGATGTTAGGAGGAAGTTTTCCACACAGAGGGTGGTGACACACTGGAACAGGTTGCCCAAGGAGGTTGTGGATGCTCCATCCCTGGAGGCATTCAAGGCCAGGCTGGATGTGGCTCTGGGCAGCCTGGTCTGGTGGTTGGTGACCCTGCACATAGCAGGGGGGTTGAAACTGGATGATCACAGTGGTCCTGTTCAACCCAGGCAATTCTATGATTCTATGAATCATATAATCCATGTGTTCTGAGACTGCTTTTTCCTCCACCCTCCAGCAGCTAAGCTACAAACCCACTCCACCTTGGCAAAGCGCATCTCACCCCCCCCAACACCCAGGGTACACTGGAACTGCCTGGCTCCCACACGTGCTGCAGAGCCAGCACCAGCCTCTCCCTGCTGCCAAAGGCTCACCCTAGTGCCCTGTGGGTTCAACTGTGTTAGGAGCCACTGCTGATGGGATTCCACAGCATAAAAGTTGGGCTCTCAGTTTTGTCTTGAAGTATGATATGACATTCAAACTCTATTAATGCTGATGTTATAAAGTCCTCCTATGAGATAGGATGGAATTCTCAGTGGGCTGGTGTGTTCAATTCATCCCTAGTGCCACATGCATTACTACTTATGTAATTATGAAATAATATGTGCTCAACTTAATTTATGTACTCATTGCAACATATATGCTAGAAAAGTCCTAAGTTTGTCTATGCATCCTTGAATTCAACACATAATTTAATAAGGTCCTTCCCTACTGTGACCAGGTAACCTGCATAACTTTGAGCTACAATCTTAGCATTCTTCTATACACACAGTTTCTGGTTGGACATACATACACTACCTTAACTCAGTATCTGAGAACATCACAGGTGATAAAGCAGCATCTTGCTGAGGCATTATGCTTGGAAGATATCTTCTGATGCACCATTTGTCATTGCCATCATGGCATATAACAACCCTGTATAGTAGATTGCAGCTGTATATTACAGAACAGTTGCTCTCAACCATAAAAAAGTTAATGTCAACTCATAATTTTACTAAATAATTAGGAGTTTCAAAAATCAGAAAATCATTCTAAAAATAAAATCTATGCATGCTAATGAGAGAAAAAAATCTACATAAAGACTATTACCTGCCAGCTTTATAGCTACAATTATTATAGCTAATTATATATCTGCAACAAGGGAGTACTTCATCTCCTACAATCATTTGGGAGTCCTCAAAATGCCCTCAGGTGAGGGAAAGCAGCAAGGAACAGATTAACTTTGTAAACCCTGAAAGTTGAGAAACTTTCAGCCAGTAGAAATAGTGATATCCACACTCCTTTCAGTAGTTGCAGTTCTTTCTTTGCTTTGTGCCAATCACCTGGCACTGTGTCAGGAATTTTAGGGTCAGGTACAGATTTTTGTTAATTGGCAATACTCTAAAATGAGTAAAAGATAGTGATCTGCTGGAAATGTAGCATATGTGAAGGCAGTAAAAGGAGAAAGATTCGTTATTACTTAACTCCCATTTATCTCAGCTTGTAAATATAATGCCAAGTACTCCTGCCCACTGGCTTCCAGAACACAAGATACCAGAAATACTGAGGTACTGCAACAGTGAACTACAGAAGCAGAGAGTAATTTCTCTCAGAAAATATAATGCAGCAACTGGAACTGGTACTAAAATTGCTTCCCAGATGCATACAGCTCACTTGGTTGTTTCCCTGCTGATAGGCTTCACTCATAGTCAACAAACCCTAGGAGAAATGGGATAGCTGGAAAAACAGTAAAGAAGTGGCTGGAAGACTTCAATAGGGGTAGAGGATAAGTGAGCTCACTGAGGATACCTCAGTGTTCCTACAACATGGCAGAATGTGGGACACTCAAGCCTTATCATCACCAATTTTTTAATGCTAGATTTTTACTTTGCAATAACTAAGTCATGGAAGCTAACTTGAAGGGATGGATTAGAGTGCTGTGGAAAAATGCAGTGCCAAACCAAGAACAAATAATGACATAAAGTTGTAGCTTTACTTAGGTCAAAGTTTAAGTCAATGTATTCCACCATTTATTTTTTGAAGAACTTATCTTAAGTTCTGAAGCTATAAAGTCAAATAACAAGCATGCAATGAAAGGTCTGACTAGAAGATAATAATGGAAACCTTTTTCACATACTTGTGATAATCCTGCTTTTTCCAGCATTTGCTATTTTAAATTTAAGTTTCATGGTTAAATATAATTGATTTGGAGCTGTTCTGTAACTGACCAATCTTACATGCTGGCCTAATTACTAACCTGATTCTATAGATGTTTGAGTTCAATGTCAGATGAAACGCTGCAAAAATGCAGGCTAGATTAAAAAAAAAGAAAAAAAAAGTATAAGCTATTTCTTCATGAACGCCTGCATATTGAATGACGGTTTGATAGCAATCATAGCCCTCCATTTGCCAATTACTGTTACCTATTTGTCCTAGCATAACTATTGAAGCAGTGTTTTTCCCTTGAGATTGGTTTCCCTATCTAAGGATTTGAAAGGCTGCACAAACATTCACACCACTAGTAACAGTAACTTTTTTGTTGATTAAACAGAACAAAAAGTCTACTTGTATTTTTTTAAAGCATTGCAGCTGGGAAGCCCACCTGTATCATGGGTTGCATCAAAAGAGAGGTGGCCATCAAGACAAGGGAGGTGATTGTCCCCCTCTCCTCTGCCCTTGTGAGGCCCCATTGGAGTACAGAATACAGCTTTGGGGCCCACAGCACAGGAAGGACATGGAGTTGTTGGAATGGGTCCAGAGGAAGGACGCTAAGATGATCAGAGAGCTGGTGCACCTCTCCTATGAAGAAAGGTTAAGGGAACTAGGCATGCTCAGCCTAGAGAGGGCTCCTGGTAGACCATACTGCAGCCTTTCAGTATTTAAAGGGAGTTTATAAGCAGGAGGGGGACAGACGTTTTATGTGGGCAAACAGTGGTAGGACAAGAGGGAACAGCTTAAAGGAGAGGAGATTTAGGTTAGATGTTGAATTTTTTTGCTCTGGGGGTGGTGAGGCAGTGGAACAGGCTGCGCAGGAAAACTGTGGATGTCCCGTCACTGGTTCAAAGCCAGGTTGGATGGGATCCTGAGCAACTTGGTCTAGTGGATGGCGACCCTGCCTGTATCAGGGGATAGAAAATGAATGATCTTTAATGTCCTTTCCAACCCAAGCCATTTTGTGAATCATTAAAGGAGTGTTTGAAGACAATTCTGTGCGACAGAAACACAAACACTAACTGGGAAATCTGGAAAGCACGAACAGGTTAAGAAAGAAAGGGGAAAAAAAAAAAAGGCCAATACTAACTAAGCTTGTCTAATTCAAAATCGCTCACTGAGGTGTTACTTACAACTTAGGGCTGTTTTGCGTTAATTTAAGGAAGATCCAAGACACGCGGGCCGTAACTTCCACCAGCTCTGAAGGTTTTGTCCTCTCCCCAGCTCCCCTGAAGGAAGAGGCAGACAAAATACTGATAGATGCACAGCAGACTGACTCCTGACATTACCCTCAGGCACCCCTTGTCACGTTTGCTGCTTAGGGCGACGCTCCTACAGCGTAGAAAAACGACGGGCTTTCGTCCGGGTGTGGGGGGGGGAAAGATCGGGTACCGACGGCGGGGAGGAGAGCGGGTGCCGGCAGGGCACAGCCCCGCCCCGCTCCCCCCGTGAGGCCGCCAATGGGCGGATCGCAGGACGCGAGGCGGGCGCCGCGGAGGAGCTCGGGGCTCGACCGGCCGCGCCTGGAGCGCGCGGGGTTTGAGGCGTCGCTCGGGCAGCCCGCTCCGCCCATGGCCTCCGCGCTGGTAAGCGAGCGGGACGGGGGGCGGCGGAGGGCGCGGGTCTCTGCCACGGCTCTGACGGAGCGCCGCTTTCCCTCAGGAGGACCCGGTCTTGATCCGTCCCCTCAGAGGCCACGGGGCGGCGGTGACGGGCGTCGCCTTCAGCGCGAGCGCCGCGGAGCTCGGTGAGTGCGCGGGGCGGGAGGCGGCTCTCCCCGCCCGCCGGACGGAGCCGCTCCGGCGGCGGTTCCGGCGGCGGTTCCGGGAGCGGGTCCGGGGGGCGGGGCGGCTTCCCGCGCCGGCCGGCCGGCCGGGCGGCGAGTCTCTGCCCCTTCCTTAAGCGACAAGTTTTTGAGCAAACCACAGGGCGGGGGAGGGGTTTGTCCCGCGATGAGAGGGGAGGAGGAGGAGGAGGGGGAGGAGGAAGTAAGCAGGCGAGCAAGTAAGCGAGGGCAGCGCCGGGGCCGTGCGGGGGCTGCGCCGTGCCTTTCTGCCGCCCCTCGTCTCCCCGGCCCGGCCTGCCGCACCCCCGCTGTCGGCCCGAGCCCCGCGCGGGGGCAGCCGGGGGTGTGAGGGAAGCCGGCGACGGCGGCGGCTCCTGGAGCTCCGCTCCGCGAGGGGCTGCCATGAGGATCCGGCTGGCGAGAAGGTGGACGTGGGTCCGCAGAAGCTGCGCGTTGCTGGGCTTCTTGACGGTCGCCTACTTCGCTTTGGAGCTGTCTGTTTCTTCCTTCGGTGCCTCCCTCGCCGGGGAGAGCATCTCCAAAGGGAAATGGGAGCGGCGCTTTACGGACGGAGCAGAGGAGGCGGTGGATTTGGCTCGCCCGGTTTATGACAAATCCCCGCCCGATTCTTATGCCCCGGGAGAATGGGGCAAACCCACTCGCCTGCAGCTGAGCCCCGAGGAGAAGAAACAGGAAGCAGAGCTGATAGATAAGTACGCAATTAATATTTATTTGAGTGATAAAATCTCTCTCCATCGGCACATTGAAGACAATCGAATGAGTGGCTGTAAAACTAAATCGTACAACTACAGAAAGCTGCCCACAACGTCTGTTGTAATCGCCTTCTACAATGAAGCCTGGTCCACGTTGCTGCGGACAGTACACAGCGTTCTTGAAACTTCTCCTTCAGTGCTTCTGAAAGAAATTATATTGGTGGATGATTTGAGTGATAAGGTGTATTTGAAAACTGACCTTGAGAAGTACATCAGCAGCCTGAAAAGAGTTCGTTTAATACGGACCAACAAACGGGAAGGGTTGGTTCGCGCGCGCTTGATTGGAGCTACCTTTGCTACTGGTGATGTCCTCACGTTTCTCGACTGTCACTGCGAGTGTGTCTCCGGTTGGTTAGAACCATTGCTTGAGAGAATTGCCGAGAATGAGACCGTTGTGATCTGTCCTGTTATTGACACCATCGACTGGAACACATTCGAGTATTACATGCAGTCAACAGAGCCCATGATCGGGGGCTTTGACTGGCGACTGACGTTCCAGTGGCACTCGGTGCCGAAACACGAACGGCTGAGGCGCAAATCTGAGATAGACCCAATCAGATCCCCAACTATGGCAGGGGGCTTGTTTGCTGTCAGCAAGAAGTATTTTGAGTACCTGGGTACCTATGATACGGGAATGGATGTCTGGGGAGGAGAGAACTTGGAGTTATCATTTAGAGTGTGGCAATGCGGAGGCATGCTAGAAATTCATCCGTGCTCCCATGTAGGCCATGTGTTTCCAAAGCGTGCTCCGTATGCTAGGCCGAATTTCCTTCAGAACACAGCGCGTGCTGCTGAGGTGTGGATGGATGAGTATAAAGAACACTTCTACAACAGAAATCCTCCAGCGAGAAAAGAAAACTATGGAGATATTTCTGAGAGGAAGCTACTAAGAGAGCGTTTGAAGTGCAAGAGTTTTAACTGGTATTTGAAAAACGTCTTTTCTGAGTTGCATGTACCAGAAGATCGTCCTGGCTGGCACGGTGCTGTCCGCAGCGTAGGCATATCGTCAGAGTGCCTAGACTATGTTTTACCAGAGCATAATCCTACTGGGGCTCACCTTTCTCTCTTTGGATGTCATGGTCAGGGAGGAAATCAGTTTTTTGAATACACATCAAATAAAGAGTTTAGATTTAACTCTGTGACGGAGCTATGTGCTGAAGTTCCTGAGCAAGAGGATTTCATAGGTATGAGGAGCTGCCCAAAAGATGGATCTCCTGTCCCAGAAATTATTATATGGCATTTCAAAGAAGATGGGACTATTTATCATCCTCATTCTGGAAAGTGCCTTACTGCTTATCGTACTGCTGAGGGGCGTGCTGATGTGGAAATGAGAACTTGTAATGCTGCAGATAAAAATCAGATGTGGAAATTTGAGAAATAATCACTAGCGGTAGTAAGAATCAAATTGAGCAGAGACTCCAGGGTTTTTACATATGCAAGCAGATAGCAACATTTGGCTGTCTACCTTGGAATGTCTTCAGATGTGTCTTTCCTGTAGTGTTGTAGGAACTTCTGTTGTGGTGAACTATATGGAAAGCAAAAGCAAATGCTGGGAATTAATTTCTTAAACAGTGATTTACATTTCTAATGCCTTCTATTTTTGTAAAATTTTGACCAATTATTTTCTTATTTTGGTCTCTCTTAATTATGGCAAAACAAATCCTTTTGAGTGGACTAAAGAGGGATTTTCTCATTGTTGAAAATGAGCGCATTGAGCCTACACCGTAACGTTATGTGCAAGTAAAAATTTTGTACTTACTGAAGTAAATTTGAGGTTCTTGCAGTATTCACCTATTTGCAGATTCATCGAAATAGATGTATCTGTTGCCCTAAGTTATACTACAATAGCATGTGACTGCATTGACATTGATGTGGAAAGCTGAATCTGAAATCTTGGAATATTGTGCAGTTTTCTAGGGAATTTACATGCTATTAAGGGTTTTAGGGCGACCTCTAACTATAATACTGCATTGAAGACAAGGAAGGACTTTTTAGAGTGTGGATTTGGGCACAGCTTTGCAGTCTTGCTCCTGTTCTGTAAAACTCACTGTAAAACTGGCCAGGATGAATCTCATGTGTTTAGAAAGGAGAGCATAGTAGCAGTGAAACCAAGGACATGCTAGAGGTGCTGGATATGGGAAGAAATGAGTGGTTAGAAGTCTGAGTTCTGCTGGAAGGTAGCAAGAAAAGCACAGAATTAGCTACTGCTGTTTCTTTGCTATGTATTTAATATTTACATCATTGTGTAAGCTTTTCATTAAGTTTGGCTTCGTAGAGCACAGTCTATGTGACTATGCCATGTATCCATTTTTTTAAATTATTTTTATTTTTAATTTTAATGAATCTTATACCTTTTAGAGTGGCAGCAAAGTAGGGGGGAGAAATACAAAGGAAAAGTTGGGCTGTCTTATTTTGTGTTATATACTTGTCATCAGCTGGCATGCTCTACACACTCGGAAGAGTCTGGAAATAATGCAGCATACACAGCTTCTTTCTATTCACCATAGTGTCCTGGGAGGCCTAGTCTGGAATTGCTGAGGTGAAGAGGGCTGGAAAGGCAAGGGAGAGATTGGAAGAAAATAAGATCTCTAGTGAACCGTATAACAAATCTTATTAATGTTTTCTATATCCTGTTATACTGAGCTTTGAGTAACACCGATTCTAGAATCATGTCACTGATTAGCTTTCAGTGTGATTATAGATAGTAGATGACTGATGTTTTTTGTATTTGAAAAAAAAATTCTTGATTCTGTCTTTTTTAGTTATATACAATTAAGTTGAACACTTATCTTAGTGTTTTGGGCATTTGAACTTTGTTTGGTTCCTTACACTGAAGTGGTAAATGTCTTTCAGTAGCCACAGTACAGTAATCCTTGACTCTGGGCTGGTGGGAACTTGAACTTTGGGCAATAACAATCTGGATAAAGACAGCTGAGGTATGCAGTAGATGCACGTTTGGTAAAGGCATTGCTAAGTAGAAGGGTTAAAGGGGAGCAAGTGAGACCTGAAGTAAGTGACTATATTAAAGATAATAAAGCAAAAGTTAATAAAGATGCATGTTTGAATCTAAGCAATTTTAAAGAACTGAAGGGTTTGGGTGCAAACAGGCTGAGATTGAAGGGGGGCAGAGGAAGAAGACAATTTGGAGGGGTGGATACAGTGTTGAATCGTGCTCAAAATGCTTGCCACTGTGTGGCATGGGTTGTTCTAAGCCTCTAACTTACTTTTAGGAGGTTACTTGCAACTTAATTTTTCTTTTTTTTTTCTTTTTTTTTTTCTTTTTTTCCCCCAAATTCAATTTTGGGGTAAAAGGGAGCTTCTTTACTATATAAGGGAGACATTCCGGAAAAATTCCATTCCAGTGCAGTAAGGAATTATTGTGCAGACCTACAAGTTATGAATCATGTATCAAATTTTAAAAGGCAACCAGTCATTAAGTACTGGAGGAACAAATTATACAAAGTATGTGCTTTTGTGAAAAGCTTGCTGTAGGCTGTTATATTCAGTAGGTACAACAGTAAAAAGGCCTGGGTTCTTCTACTCTTCTATGTGACTGAAGCATCAGTTGTATATGCAATGCATGTTTCCTCAGATGAAAGTAAAAAGCGTGAATATAGACTATGCAAATTTTATGCAATTAACTTTTTTTAGGATTTGACAAAAAAATTATTTTGTATAAAGAACTACCTTCATGTTAAATATGACATTCAAAGTGTTCCTTATCTATTTAAGCAATAAATCAAAGTGAATCTGCCTCTTGAAGTTTAAAAACTTATTCTATGTGTACTTGAACCTTTCTTCCTTCTCCCCACCACCTCCCCTTCTGTTTTTGTGGTTATTTAAAACCTAAATAGAACTGGGAGGGGAAACAAAACCAAAAAAGGCAAAAGCAAACAACCTAGCTGAAGTAAACAATCTGGATTTCAGACATAAAGTGTGTATTTTCTCCTAAATGGAGGAAAAAAGTTGAAAGGGGGGAAGTAGGCAAAGAAAGAAAGAGAAGAAAAGGTTTCCCATTCCCAGTTCAGCTAGTCTTGAACTGGGTTGTAGCAATTGTACAGAAATACTCCAATCTGGTTGTTTCCCAGTGCCTGCGGATTCCTGGAAAATCTGTAGCTGTGGAACATTTTCTATTCTGTTAAACTTAAAAATTTGGGGAGCACTTGTGTATATTTTAAACTACTGATT